TCAGCATTTTGAGTGAATTTTTAAATTTTAAATTGAATTTCCGAATTTGTACGTATTTGGTTGCATGTACCTCGTTCACTTTAATGACAGCATGCACTCAAGCTGCATGAACTCCACAAGTTTGTATAAAAGCCTCTGATAAAGAGATCAAATCCAACTGAGAGTCGTTTGAACATGAGCTTCAGTGGAAGAAATGAGATTAAAAACAAATCCTGAGGTTTTAGTACAAAGACCTTAACATGGTCAATGTCTCGATTAGCTTAAATTTCAAAAGTGTTCTAGAAATAGTGCAGAATCTTCATTTTTTTCTCTATTCAAAGTGTTTAATGAAGAAACAGATTTTAAATGTGCTTTTCAGTGGGGTTTTGTGCTTCACTGTACAAAGAAGTAATACAATCCATTTTCAGCAGGTTTGTTTTTTTTATTAGATACATTTCAGTGCTCAGCATGAGCTGATCATGCTCTGCCATCAGGGTTTCTGAACCTGTGGGTGTGAAGTACCATCTAGTGGTCCGCGAGCCTATACTCAGGGGGAAGCAGTGGGCCGGTAAAGACACTTTAAGCCGTACAAAAGTGAAACTAAACGTTGGCCCTATTATCAGGAGATCATGAGTTTGATCCCTGGTGATGCTACAGCCATCCGTGGGGTGGAGTCCAAGAAGACAGCACAGCTGTCCTCGCTCTCTCTGGGTGGATAAGACGTATGCATATTCATACAACCTCATTTCCAAAAAAGTTGAGACGCTGTGCAAAATGTAAATTGAAACAAAATGCAATGATTTGCAAATTATTTAAAGCCTATATTTAACTGATAATAGTACAAAGACAACATATCAAATGCTGAAAGTGAGAAATTTTATTGCTTTTTGAAAAATAAAAGTATTATAATTTATCATTTAAAATTAATTTTATAATAAAAAATATAAATTTCAGCTGCTCAATAGTTCAGGGTCTCCTGTGTTGTAATTTTCATTTCGTGTTGTGGCAAATGTTTTCAGTGGTGACAGGTGGTTTAGCACCCGGACTATTTTAATACGGAGCAATGCTGTTGTAATACATGCAGAATGTGGTTTTACATTGTCTTGCTGAAATAATCAAGGCCTTCCCTGAAAAAGTCGACATCTGAACGGCAACATATGTTGCCAAAACATGTATCTATCGTTCAGCATTAATGGTGCCTTCAGAGATGTGCACGTCACCCATGCCTTGTGCACTAATGCACCCCTATACCGTCATGGATACTGGCTTTGGAACTGTGCACTGATAAACTGAGTGGTCTTTAGTGTCCATGATTTCCAGTGTCCATGATTTCCAAAAAGAATTTCAAATTGTAAAGGTGGATGGCTCACCAGACAGAGGATGTGAACCCAGGCTGTCTGAGGTGAGCCACTCACAGGACCCAAGCACCAAGCTTAGGTACTGCAGATGGATGAGCTGAACTAAAGAACTTCAGGACCCAGGCTCTATTGGTGCTGCGCAAGTGTTCTACCGCTTCAGTCTTTGCGAAGACTGGTGAAAGGAGCGCCCTTATATGGAGAGGGATTAAAGAAACAAGAGCAGAGAAGGGAACCTCAAAAGAAGGCTGGAGAAACTTGAAAAGTGATGGGGAGCACAAAACTCTCAGCCCTCTTACCCAAATTACCGGCCATTTCTGTTAACACACGATGAGACAAAGACACAGCAATGTGTGGCTTCTTCTCTGTGCTTTTGAAGCCTTCCGCCCAGGAGTAGGTCGTTGGGCTTGATTGGACCTGGGAGGTGTGCGTCGTTTCCCTTTGGGGGCTGAGAGTGCCGCAGCCCTGGAGCCAGCCCTTACACAAATTTTGATTTGTCAGACCACAGGACACTTTTCCACTTCCCCTCTGTCCATTTGAAAGACCTTGGGCCCAGAGAAGGTGGCAGCACACTGTAGTAGGTTAACCAAGAACAGTGAAGTATCTGTTCTGCAGACTCACTCTCTCCTTCTTCCTCTTTCCAGTTTTCATGGACAGTGAAGAGAACTACAACTCCCATGAGTCTCTGGAGGAGCTCATGTCTCTGTATGTCTTCGTCCCCATGTCCATCAGCCAATAGATTCTCTTTTCAACCCATCACATCCCCGCAGTTCTAATGTCTCACTTGTTTGTCATTACCTGTAATCAGTTAGGTGGTAAGGTGAGCTTTAGTTCAGTCAATTGTAAAGTATTGCGAACATCTCCAGCTGCACACTGAGTGTTCTTTGTGTTCCTGGTTATCTGTGTAAGACCTGTTTCTGTCTTTTAACTTTGCCTTTTTGCTCTGTTGTTGCTGTTTTTGCATTTCTGTGTTTGACCCTGGACCGTGTTTTGGACCTTTCTTTATGATTGGATGATGATGGATATTCTGCTTTCTGGGTTTGACTTTGGGCTGTTTTGACCATGATTGTTGTTTGAATCCCTTAGCCTTGAGTAAAGCTTTACCTTGAGTTTTAATCTGGGAGTGGATGTACTTACTTTACATGCACATTGATATAAACAAGTGCTGCAACTATTTCATGTTCCATTTAAAGACACATTACACTGTGCTTTAGTTGTCATACACTGCAACAATACAGTGTTTATTTTAGGGAATTAATTACACTAAACAATCACTCTACTATGTTAACAGCACTGAGAATATTTTGTTTTATTTTACATTTTATTTTTTTCCAGTTGTTTTCATTTTAATACTATTAAGTTTGGTCAGCAGGGGAGGAGTGCACTCACTGCTGGACATCAAACTCCACTCATGAGCACGGCCATTAGCTTTCATGCCAAACACTGCCATTTTATTGGCTGGCTACTGAAACATCTGCATGAATTAGTGTGTGCTTCATGTAAATGATATGTAAATTAAGTGCTGGTCGGCTGGTTTCATGCACTGAAGCTGATTTATCATTTATGCTCAAATCTCCACTTGTTTCCACATCGTACAGAGTTGTTATGAATCAGACGCAGAGCAGTTCAAACCTTATAAAAGGCAAGAAAAAAAAATGTTCTGGAGGTTTAAGCATAAATCATAAATCAACTTCAAGAATGATGCTGTTTGGCAGATCACTAACATAGCTAGCCAGCTAGCTATAAATTTCCTACTCATATGAAGCTGGTGTTCCTCAAACTGCTAATAGTCGGCTAGCTAATTAGTGACTGTAGCCTGCTAGCCTACCGTAAGCTAATATAGTTTAAATGATGTCTATCAAATAGACTTTACATATAAAAGTTTTGGTTTGCGTTTAAGTCAGAAGTCGCTGCCATCCTGTAGCTAAATGTGTCACAGAAACTGCTCCACGTTAGCCGGCTGGTGGCAGCAGCTAATGAAAGCTAACTAACTAGCTTCCTTATTTTTGGGAATACAGCTAAAGTTTGAAATGGCTTCTAGCGTTGCTAACCGCTAGCTAGCTACAGCTAAACAACATCTACCAAATTCATACTACATAGAAGAACTTTTATTTCTTTTGTTGTTCAACTACAGAGACACTGCCTCCTTTTGTCATGATAGTGCACGAAAACTAACATATGTCTGTTGTAGCTCAGTATTTGAGCATTACAGTTCACTGCTAATGCTTAATCCGGACGTAATCGCGACTCTTTGTGAAAAGGGCCCATGGCCATTAGATCTTTACATTTTGACCATTAATTACTTCTTAAATTCCTCTTAATCGACCATTAATTACTGCTTTTGTGTTGTCACTTTACTTGGAGGGACACAAAAGCAGTAATTAATAGTTAAGTAAGAGGAATTTAAGAAATGCTTAATGGTCAAAATGTAAAGATCTAATGGCCCATTAATCATCAAAGTTGCATAAAAAAAGAATACCTTTTTCTTGCCTTTTGTAAGTTATGAACTGCTCTGCGTCTGATTCATAGCAATTTTGTACAATGTGGAAACAAGTGGAGATTTGAGCATAAATGATAAATCAGCTTCAGTGCATGAAACCAGCCGACCAGCACCTCATTTACATATCATTTACATGAAACACACACTAATTCATGCAGATGTTTCAGTAGCCAGCCAATAAAACGGCAGTGTTTGGCATGAAAGCTAATGGCCGTGCTCGTGGGTGGAGCTGATGTCCTGCAGTGAGTGCACTCCTCCCCCGCTGACCAAACTTAATAGTATTAAAATGAAAACAACTGGAAAAAAATAAAATGTGAAATAAAACTAAATACTCTCAGTGTTGTTAACATAGTAGAGTGATTGTTTCGTGTAGTTAATTCCCTAAAATAAACGCTGTATTATTGCAGTGTATGACCGGAGCTGTGTTTGTGAGTCAGTAGTATGAAACAAAAGCACAGTGTAATGTGTCTTTAAATGGAACATGAAATAGTTGCAGCACTTGTTTATATCAATGTGCATGTAAAGTAAATACATCCACTTTTGTACTGGACTGTCATGCACACAAATTAGTATTATTGATATTTTCTACTGTTGTTTTTTTTGCAATTACAGATTATGTTGATAATAGTTTTGGTTAATTAGCCACATATCCAGCATTTATGCCCAAATGTACATGCACTCCTACCAGATATGAGATTTGTACAGATATGCCAAGATGAACATGATGAATAACAAAACAGTCAGTCAATTTGTGGTCACTCATCTTCTGGTCAGATGTAACCATAAGCATCTTTAATGAACAAGAACCAAAGTGAGAAAAGTGAAGCACCTGAATATTTGGATATATATGGAGGTGATAGAAAGTTAATTAACAGATAATTAGCGGGATTAACACGTAAGTGCTAGTAAGTTATCACGTTACTTCTTTATATAAAAAAAAATACTTATTAGTTAATTAACAATGTAATATGCAGCAGTTAGTACACAGATAATGAGTAAGTAAGACATAAACTAACGACAAACTAACTTATCAACTAACAGTGTACTTAATTACTAATTGATAAGTGCTCAATCAATTACTAAGTAATAGCTATTGCTTAATGAAGAGTTAACCAATAACTAAATAATGGGAAATTAATAGTTGATTATTATATATTTAATGATTAATTAGCGACCCTTAATGTAAAACGTTAAAATAGTAATAATAATAATAATAATAATAATAATAATAAGACATTTAGGCTTTAGTGGTTTATTAGGGAGCTTTATTTCATATAACATGATGATTCACTTTCACATGGTGTAATCATGTAAACCAATACTTTTTGCAAAAGAGGTTGGAACAAATTTCCCCCAGATGTCAGAACAGATGTCAGTCCCTCATTTCTTTAAGAACCAACTGAAGACCCACTTCTTTAAAAAGCATATATATATATATATATATACGAACACTAATCTAGCACAAACGTCTTGTAACAGCACTTAATGAAACATCTTATTTTTTCATTACATGTTTTTGTATCTTGGTATCAGCACTGATTCTTGTTTCTGGCAGTGTCCTAGTTCAAAGCTGTCTATAGACTCCAGTGTATTTCCATTAGTTATGGATCTATTCTCCGAGTGCACAACAAAGCACTTTTGCTAAATGGTGTAAATGGAAATGATTTGTATAATTAATGTTGTTTTACCAAAGGTTAAAACTCAGCTCATTTCCAAACAAAGAAATCCCTACTGTGCGGCCAACTGTCACCCCAGTGCCCAGAAACTTTGCTTCTACGTTTGATGGGCCAACTTTGACACCTGTGTCAACCCCCAGCCCAACTTTCACTCCAACTGGTCCAACAGATGCAGATGCACTTCCAACTTCCGCTCGAGCCATGGCACCAACTTCAAGCCCGTTAGCCTCAGCACTTGCCGAAGCACTTGGGCCTTTGGTTTCAACTTCAAAGATGCTCTGCTCTGCTCGAGCTCGTCCAGGTCCTACAAATTCAGAACAGGTTGGTAATTATTCCAGGGAGCTGGAGGTTCACCAGTCATTCATTTTTATGGGTGATTCTGATTCCTCTACACAAAACAAGAACCAGTACATTTCCAGTCGTTTCTATGCAGTATAATACAATATAAATAGCATCAATTAACCTTAAAATGGCAAATTGGCATTTTTAAATTCATGCATTTTAAAATCAGTTACCTATTCAGGAGGTAATTGGCAGTTTAGCACAATGTCTCATACAAAACTGTGAAATGACATTTGCATAATATGCTATGGTAAGAGGGTAGCAATGGTGTTTCTATATGATGCTACGGCACTGACCTGGCTCAGCTAAAATAATATCTTGGCTGATAGCCAAGTGTGCCTTTGGAGCAAAATATTTATTGACTGAAGTTTTTCACTCTTACAGGTACAGTTTACCTCTGAAGGTATCTTTTCTGAGATCAAGTAAGCAGATTAAAAGGTTTGTTCTCAGAACAATTACATTTGTTTCTTCTACTGGATGGCTTTTCTGGCTAATTAGCACACACACACACACACACACACACACACACACACACACACACTCACACACACACACACACACACATTTGGTTATTTGGCAAATATAAAAATAATTACATTTACAACATATGTACATTTGCATGGATTAAAACCTGTAATATGGACTCAAGATTATTATGAGTATCATATTAACTGTAGGACAGAAAAAAAGAGGAATGCTATTACAAGCAAAGTCTGTCACAGAGCTACAAATACCAAATATAAATTATTAATAAAAACTAGACTTTAGATTTTGAAAAGTTTAAAGCACCTGAAAGATTAAAGCACAAAATGTTGCACTGTCTCTTGCTCATCTCTGGCGCTTATTTCAGTTCTGAGCAGATGAACATAAAGTGAACTGAATTTATACATGGCACACTTTTATTCAGTTACTCTTTCATTCCTGTGGGATTCACCCACATTTGAGTTGTATCTGAGTTTAAGACTGAAAGTACATTACATGCTTTGTTGACTGTGAATCCGTGAACACATCCTCTACAGAGAACACACTTCTGCACATTTTAATGCACAACCACTTTTTTCTCCCCCCCTGAATTTAACATATTGGAAAAAAAAACAAAAACATATGTGACCTGTAAAAATGTTAGGGCATATTATATACTGTATGTTTTATTTTGTCCAATATGTTAACCTCACCTGGAAATCAAAAGATAGAAATCGTGTGCTAAAATTCACAGACAAATGTCATATTTAAGTGTGCTCTATGTAGAGCAGAGGTCACTAATAGGTGGACCTTGGTCAGAGTCCAGACCCAGATGCTGTCTTATGCAGACCTGGACCTATAACCGATAAATCATGGAGAATTCTTTCATTTCGATGGGGTGGTCCGATTTTAATCAGTGTAACTTTTCTAGCCTTTCTTGTACCACTTTAGCGGCCTGGGAAACTCACAGACCAATCACATGCATTGTAAATATGACACATGACTCTACTCAGCCAATCAGATCTGTGCATTATGATGAGAACTGAGACTCGAGTGAGTGACTTACAGACAGGGGGACGAGGCGAGAAAAACACACATGGTGTGTTCTAAAAAGAGAAAACTGGCAATGATGTTGAAATATAACTGAAAATATATATATATATATATATATATATATATATATATATATATATATATATATATATATATATATATATATATATATATATATACACTGAATTAGTGTCACAGGCTTACCTGAGGAGCTCATCTTGGAGATGGGGCAAAATAAGTGATGGTCGAGAGAAAGAGGGAGCGAGCCTACAGAACAGAAGAGTACACAAGCTTCTCTCTTATTCACTGTTACTTTCTCTATTTATTGTGTTGTGATTGATTTTGGTTGTTAAATTAGTCTAACAACGCAACAACAACAACAACAACAACAACAACAACAATAACAATAATAATAATAATAATAATAATAATAAGAAGAAGAAGAAGAAGAAGAAGAAGAAGCAGAAGAAAAATTATTATTTAAATAAATGTATGTTAACTATGGATCAAACACCAAGCAGGTTTGGTTTCAATCCATAGGCATCAGTATTTTTCAAACGTAGAATAAAGGAGACACCTAAACCACATCTTATGAACATGTATTTGGTTGTTCGGAGATTCATCAATATGCATAAAATTTTTTGAAGAAAAAAAGCTGACAGAACTTTTTAAGCATCAAAATTAAGGAGTGCAAGAAGTTTTTTTGACATGCAGAAAATCAGTCAGATACTTCACTGTTCTTGGTTAAGCAACTATACTTCAACATTCAGTCAGCGAATAATATTTCAAAAACGTACAGTATATTATGCTGTACAGCACATGCATGTTTCAATTGTGTAATAAGTCTCTCATATTTAGGTTCTAGATATCAATTATTTTTATTCTGATACCTTCATCTGTCTCTTTTCTATGACCTCTCAAGAAAAAAAAATCTTGTTAAATGAAAGTCTACCGTTTATAATAAAGGCAGAAAAATTATGACAAGCAAGTGAATATAATGTTAATGTGTGATATGTGATAAAGTTTCCACTGCTGAGGCTCTTTTTTATATAAAAGCTGAAGTTAATAAAGGCGTCAGTTACAACATTCTGCTTTATAACTGTAAACAGATCTGGTGATAGGGAGATTGATAGTGCAGCATACTTGTCTAAAATACAATTATAGTAAATCAAATCGTTCAAGGTGAGAATGTTTTAGCATATCTAATAACATATTGAATTTATCGGGACATTTTTAGTGTAAAATATCCATAACATTAATGTTTATCATGAGACACTGATCTTATGATGGGTCGGGTGCGTTGGTTCAGTGCATCCAACCAAAGTTGAAATGAAACCTAAGTTGCTGGTTTATAAAATGAAAAGCATAATCTGTCACAGTGCATGTTAAAACTGCTCATCAGCAACTACAGTACCTTCATGCATGTATTACCATGCAGATTATGAAATGTAAGACATGAGAAATCTTCAATATTAACATAGTTTTTATGTGTATATTTATAAAATATGACAGACAACTGGAGTTAACTGTGCAATAGGGTGAAAAAAAGAACAGAGAAAATAGTTTTTAACAAATTTAAACATAAAGTATGAAATGCGTTGATTCTTACCTGCCTTTTTAGCTGGTTGCAGTGGCCGTTTTGAGAAGTTGAACGCAAGGTGATCTGTATTTATAGGGAACACATTATTTTCACTTTCAGTTTTTCTCCCCACAGGGTTTATTTTCCAAAAGCACCTTAGAGACTGCACACTGACTAAGATCGAAACTAATAGTGAAAGTATCTCCATTTTTGCCGTTTTTCAGTTTTTGACATAATTTGAAAATGCATGTTGTTCTTTACATTGTGTGTAAATGTCATGATGAATTGACCAAATGAAATGGCCTAAAATAACTTGGAAAAAAATCTGGTTCCTTTGACTTACATTAAAAGTAAAGTAGGTTTTTTCTTCTCCTGTAAAGTTATCATTTTGGAGATATGAGGTTTTGTTCCGACAACAGCGACATGCTCCCATCCAGACGGCGTCTCTTTCAGGAAAGGCCTTGCGTATTTCAGCAAGAGAATGCTAAACCACATACTGCATCCATCACAACAGCATGGCTTTGCAGAAGAAGAGTCCGGGTGTTGGTTGAACTGGGGGTGCATCAGTGCTCATGGCATGGGCGACTCATTGATGAAGAAGCATATGTTGGGATTTTAGAGGGACATATTCTGCCATCAATGTGACTTGCTTTCGTGGGAAGTCCGTTGTTATTTCAGCAAGACAATGCCAGGCCTCTCTTTGTATGTGCTACAACAGCTTGGCTTCATAGACACAGTGTGTGTGTGCTTGACTGGCCTGTCTGCAGTCCAAATCTGTCTCCGATTGAAAATGTATGGGGCATCTTGAAGTGGAGAATTAGACACAATGAGAACATCATGACTGTTGAGCAGAGGGAGTCTTGTATTATGCAAGAATGGGCAAAAATTCCACTTGCAAAACTGCAACAATTAGTATCCTAATTTTCCAAACAATTGAAACAAGTTTAGAGGAATACATATATGTACACACACACACACACACACACACACATATATATATATGTATGTATGTATGTATACTCATTTCCAGAAAAAAAGTCAATGAAAAAAAGAATCTGTGATTTGTTAATTGAACCATTATTTAACTGACAAAGTACAAAGAAAATATTTTCAAAGAATTTCGCTGACCATCTTCGTTGTATTTTGTTAACATAAACAAATGTATAATTTGATGCCTGCAACACACTCAAAGATGTTTACCACTGTGCATCATCTTTCCTTTTAATGACACTTTTTATTCATATGGAAAATTCATCACCTCCACAGATTCCATGTCAGAAAATCTACTATGTAATGCAATTTTTCCAGCAAATGCTTACAAAGAGATTATTTCACTTATAATTCACTATATAAAAATTCAAGTGGGTCAGAAGCCGACATACACCAAGTTGACTGTGTGTGAAGTTGATAGTTTGGAAAATTCCAGAAAAAGACTTCTGATACGCTAGTTGACATCTTTTGAGTTTATGGGGGGTGTACCTGTGGTGGTATTTTAAGGCCTGGTATATCCCTGGCATATACCGCATTCATCGGTTCAAACGATAATGCGTAAGTTACAACACCATGAGACCACACAGCCAGGAAGAAGACCCATCAAGAATGAAGTGTCTGCTCGCTGCTCCAAACCACCAAAAAAAGCCAGGTTACAGTTTGCAACTGCACATCGGTACAAAGATCTTACCTTTTGGAGAAATGTCCTCTGGTCTGATGAAACAACAATGGAACTGTTTGACGATAATGACCGTCGTTCTGTATGGAGTAAAAAGGGGGAGGTTTGCAAGCCAAATTACACCGTCCCAACCATAAAGCAAGGGGGTGACAGCATCATATTGTGGTGGTGCTTTGCTGCAGGAGGGACTGGTGCACTTCACAGAATAGAAGATATTATGAGGAAGAAAAATTAGACATCGGCCAGGAAGTTAAAGCTTGGATCTTCAAAATGAGCAATGACCCCAAGCTTACTCCCAAAGTTGTGGCAAAATGGGCTGTGCATGCAAAAGGTTAAAAGTTATTATTAAACCTAGAACAGCTTTTGAGTCAGCAAACTGCATAAGACTGTAGCTAAAACTAAAAGGGACTGCAACTGTTTTGGGTCTCATTATTTATTTGCATTGTGTTCTAATGTGTGGGAAAAGTGTTTACAGCTATATGCAAACAAGTTTGGGCACCCCTGTCTGTCTGTCTGTCTGTCTGTCTGTCTGTCTGTCTTTCTTTCTTTGGAAGTGAAAAGAAGTAAACATAACCTCTGCAACACAGTTTTAAAAAAATATTTTCTGCAAATATTAAGACACAGTTACTTTACCTTTGATTAAGTAATAAAAAGGAAAGCAAAGGTTTGGACACTCTATTAAGTCAGTACTTACTACTTACTAATAACCCATTTGGCAGATTTCACAGCTTTGCAGATGCTTTTTGCCAGCTTAGAGTCTATTCCCGTTTTAGGAATTTTCACTGACTCTTCCTTGCAGAACGCTTCTAATGATGTTCTTCGGCCGGCTTGTGCGCACAGCATAATCTACCCTCAGATTTCTGATGATGTTAAAGTCAGGGGACTGTGAAGACCATTCCAAAAGCTTCAGCCGTCATTCCCTGAAATAGTTCAAAGACCACACCCTCAGTATGTGAGAAGAGACTGTAAGATGTGTAAATCCCTTTAAGGCGGAGACGAACGTGAAGCATGTTAAAAGGCAAATAAAGAAAACTATTACTATTAGATTTACCACCATTTTACTATCATCAACATTACATATAAAACTCAGAAGACGTGTAGGTTCACTGGTGGTTCTGGATAGTAAATAAAATGGCTATATTTGTGTTGTAGACAGGGTGTCCCATGGTTCCCATCACCACCACTGCAAAGATAAGAGCTCCTCTACAGTGAACCATTTCACATCAAATCACTCTGAATGTCTTTGTTCACTTCTCAGAGATTGAATTGTTTAACATGAGGTTTAAACTCAGCATAAGGAATATAGCTCCCTCTGGTGGCAAAACATGCAACACCACCTACTGCAAAGAATCCTAAGCCACAATGACCTTTAAGTATAACTGATCACGTGTCTATAAGTAAGAACGTGTCTATAAATAAGTCTGTAGACATGCAGCTGTGTTAATTGCACTTGGATTATGGTAACAGTAAACATAATTTGAAGGTGGAATGGTCATCTTGGGTATAAATGACTCATATCACATATTTTTCATATTTAATTTAGGTCCACTTATGACATTTGTGTAAGTTTATGTGCCAAAAATATTCAAAATTTATTTTACATGACCATTTTGAAACTCTCATTATTTCTTAGGATTAAATGGGCTGTTTTGTTGCCCTACTTTTGTTAAGCCCTCTTTTGTTAAACCCACTTTTGTTAAGCACGCTTATGTTCCCAATAACACTACTCATTATTTTATTTAAGAAAAATGATTGTTATAATTATTGATAAGCTTTTAAATACCAAGAACACTTTCTTAAGAGGGATTAAAAGCAAACATATAAACTGAAAACCAGGAATAATAATAATAATAATAATAATAATAATAATAATAATAATAATAATAATCCATGAAGAGATGTCAGTCTGACATGTCGAGATGCGACTGGAAACCTGTGTGTCAGAAGATGGGAAGGAATGCATTTGTTGCATGTCATCAGCATAGCAGTGATAAGAGAATAAAATTGTGTGTGATTATAAAACACATGTTCTGTTAATTTGAGGAGAACTTTTACAAAAAAATAAATAAATAAAATAAAAATTTACATTTATTTCATGCAGTTACTGAATTATTTGCCTTATGATTTGGTCATGTAAATTCGGATGGAAAACCCAAAATATACCGTGGAGAATAAGAGGTTTTAACACACCCTCCACAGAGAGTACCCCCAAATTTTGCATTTTTCTGTGCATAATTTATATTTATTTGTTAAATTTAACATAATACAGAAGAAACAACACACAATAAGTGCCATAACCTTTTTACAGGCCACATTTTATGTTTCATTTTTTTCCAGTGTGTTGAATTCATGCCAAGCAGAATTGCTATTCCATTCTAGAGTAGAGTAATCAACCAGACTTCTCTGAGCATGTGAATAAAAAAGAGCTGCAGTTTCTCTCCTGCTCACTAGAGGGTGCTAGTACTCCATAACACTGTATACTGTGAGGCATTCAATGTGAGAACTTTGTTACAGTGGAAACATTTCAGTTCAGATTTAGTTGATGTGTTTACACACAGACTGTCACTGCAGGCTTGAGGTACTCATTTCATATTGGTGTGCAGTTTTTTATTGGTGTCATTTATTTGACTGACTTTTTTTTCATCATTTTACAATTTTATCATCACTATTATTGCCTTAGTATTGTTTTCCTATTTGATCCTTTTCTCCTATACTTAGAGGTTTTATTTAATTCATTTTCACTAAGGTGCCTGATGTGTGTGTGTGTGTGTGTGTGTGTGTGTGTGTGTGTGTGTGTGTTTATTTATATATATATATATATATATATATATATATATATATATATATATATATATATATATGTATATATATATATTGTATATATAAGGCACAGTGCTTGGAGGAATAGCAAAAAGCAAGAGTTAGTGTAGCAAAAGCGAGCAGTAAACTTTGTTGTTCAAGAAAAGCTTGAAAGAGAGCCATGATTGATATGTTAGTCAAGCTAACACTGTCAAACGTTGAAAATAAAGAAGAATATGTACAAAATAGATACATAACAAGCAAGGAGATCACAACAGATTCAACGATGCAGTCGACAGACACTGACTGGAAGTAAACAGACGTGTTGTATAGGAGGTAACTGTATGTTAAGCTGTGATGTGGCCCTTCTGCTGGGGGTACATGTGAAAGTGCACCATAGAGGTTTTGTAGTCAGAGGCTGTTCAGGCTACAAGGGGTTCCTGATCTTGTCTACAGGGGTGACCATCTCAGGGCTTCTAGAACTTCCCATCTATGATGGTAGTTAGGGGAACTGAGAAGTCTGTGGTTTCTGAATGAGATGGTGGTTTCCAGTGATACGGTTAACTCTGAACCCAATTTCCTAGTCTTGAACCTAAACCTTTTCTATGTGACTTTTTTTCTATGCAGGCAAGATTGTGAACATTAGATCACACGTTATAATTATCTCACCTGCTTAAGCCCAGAGATACAATCTATCATGTATAATGAGTTTTGTGGCTGCCAAGACATAATTCTGGACATAACTCTAGTTTCTGTTCATACTGAACCTTCATACCCACTTATGATATTATATCTGACATCCTTTATATGTCTGACACAGTGGTTCCCAGGGTTTTTTAACCTTATTCATTGGCTAGTTTTAATCTACTCTCACAAGATGAATGTTGGTGGGAATGTAGACTTATTAAGGTGGGAATAAATTGAGAGTGAAATTTCTAAGCCTGTCCAATGTGAAGGCAGAGCTCTGGTAGAGGGTGATGGTGCATTCATCAGCATTCTCAGATGAACTATGAGCTCATTGTAAAAGTCCCCCCAAAATAGTCCAGTTAAGCAGGTAAATGTATCTCGAATGGAAAGGGCTTCAATAGGGTTCTATGGAATGAGCTTAAGTAGGGTTCTATGGAATGAGCTTCAGTATGGTTCTATGGGATTACTTTCAGTGGGGTTATGTGGGCCGTGCTTCAGTAGGGTTCTATGGGCTGTGCTTCAGTAGGGTTCTATGGGCTGTGCGTCAGTAGGGTTCTATGGGCTGAGCTTCAGTAGAGTTCTATGGGATGACTCTCAGTAGGGTTCTATGGGTTGAGCTTCATTAGAGTTCTATGGAATGAGCTTCAGTAGAGTTCTATGGAATGAGCTTCCATGGGCTTTATGGGATGACTTTCAGTAGTTCTATGGGCTGAGCTTCAGTAGGGTTCTATGGGATGACTTTCAATAGGGTTCTATGGGCTGAGCTTCAGTAGAGTTCTATGAGCTGTGCTTCAGTACGGTTCTGTGGATGGAGCTTCCATCAACACATTCACACAGATAATACTGTCTATGATAAGAACAGCTCATGTTAACTGAGGCAAGTGAGCCCTGCATTTCTTTAGATGTTCGTCTAGGTTCTTTTGTGACCTCCTGGAAGTGTCATTGATGTGATCTTAGTAAAATTTTGGTAGGCTGGCCACTCCTGGGAAGGTTGACCACTGTTCCAAGTTTTCTCCATTTGTGGATAATGGCTCTCACTGTGGTTCCCTGGAGTCCCAGAGCCTCAGTAATGGCTTTGTAACCCTTTCCAGACTGGTAGATTTTAGTGACTTTGTTTGCATCTGTATTTGAATCTCTTTAGTATGTGCCATCATGTGCTGCTTTTTGAGACTTTCTAGCTGCTTCACTTTGCCAGACAAGTTCTATTTAAGTGATGTTTAGATGCAACAGGTCTGGCAGTAATCATGCCTACGTGTGGCCAGTTAAATCAAACCCAATAGTCAATTGATTTTGTTGAACTGGTTGATTTAGTAGCTAAGGGGGCAGTTACTTTTTCACACAGGGCCAGGCAGGGCTGAACAGCTTTTTTCCTTGAATGAATTAAATCATCATTTAAAAACAGCATTTTGTGTTTACTTGGGCTGTCTTTGTTTAATATTAAAAGTTTATAACATATGTCCTTTTATAACATATGTTTACATCATTTAGTGAGGACAGATGGAAAGAAACAAGCAAAGATAGGGGGGTAAATGAAAAATAAAATCAATTTGATTTTATCATTTGATTTAGTGTGGCCTTTAACATAATAAACACAGTTAAATTATTAATTAAATAAACAGAGCAACTGGAGTCAAATCAGTTTCTGGAACAGTTCTAGCAGTTTATGGAAGAATGCAGGGATGGAGAAGGAACAAATGAAAGGAAAAGGTGCATAACAGCTGTGGTTGGGTAAAAAAGGAGCAATGATTTGGTTAAAAAACCTGAAGGAGAAGCTCATTGTTGGTGTAATACTCATATTTAGCAGTTAGTTTATTCAGTATGAGCTGTAGGTCACATTTCTGCAAAATGGACCTCACTAAAATTTTTATCCTAGTTATGGCCCTGTAGATAGATGGTCCACTGCAGCTTAGACCAACTTTCTATGCGTATTTTAAGTTAGCTTACATGCTTTTTAAGCTTGAACTGATTTAAGGAAAATCCTTGATGACATCGAAGTATTTTGGTAAAAAACTATTTCACCACTTGTTACAGCAGCTTTTGTGGGTTCATGGGTGTTTCGTCTCTTTAAATGATGCTGCTAAGAAAGTCCAGATGTGAGTATGTGTGTGTTCTCATCAATGTAAAGAATTTAATATTTGTCTTTCAAAGCAACAGTTTTTGGCACTGAAGCAGGCTTGTTAATTGTAAATGTGATATACATATGTTTCTGTAATTCTGGCCATAGATTCTTAATTTTGGTCACAAGATCCATTACTTGAGTGGCCCAAGAGGCCAATGCAAATATTTACATATTTCTATCCCTGTGAAGAAGGATAAAATGCCCTTCTACAATACACGGCTCATATAAAAATCACTGCATAGGCTCAGAAAGACTTCCAAATACCACTGTCTGTGAACACAGATCATCGCTGCATCCAAAAATGCAAGTTAACACTTTATCATGTAAAGAGGAAACCAAATATAAACAGGATCCAGAAACACCACCTCCTTCTCTGGGCCTGAGCTCAATTAAGATGGACTGAGGTGAAGTGGAAAAGTGTCCTGTGGTCTGACAAATCAAAATTTGAAATTCTTTTTGGAAATCATGGACACTGTGTCCTCTGGGAAAAAGAGGAGAGGGACAATCTGGCTTGTTATCAAGTAACAGTTCAAAAGCCAGCATCCGTGATAGTATGGGAGGTGCATTAGTGCAAAAGGCAGGGATGACTTGCACATCTGTGAAGGCACCATTAATGCTGAATGATATATACATGTTTTGGAGCAACATATGCTGCTATTCAAATGACGTCTTTTTCCAGCACCTTGTTTATTTCAGCAAGACAATGTCAAACCACATTCTGCATGTATTATAACAGCATGACTCCATACTAAAAGAGTCTGGGTGCTAAACTGGCCTACCTACAGTCCAGACCTGTCACCACTGAAAACATTTGGCGCATTATGAAACTAAAAATACAACAAAAGAGACCCCGAAACGCTGAGCAGCTGAAATCCTACATCAAGTAAGAATGGGAAAACATTTCACTTCCACTGTTATTAAAAGAAGTGATGCAGCACAGTGATAAACATGCCAACTTGTCCCAACTTTTTTGAAATGTGTTGCAAATTTAAAATGGGCATATATTAAAAACAAACAAACAAAAAAAAACATTAAATTTCTCAAGTTTCAACAATTGATACGTTTTGTACTATTTTCAATAAGCATATGGTTTAAATAATTTGCAGATCACTGCATTCTATTCATATTTACATATTGCACAGCATCCCAACTTTTTTTGGAAACAGGGTTGTATGAAGAGTTTCATCCATTTGTCTAAAATATGGCACATTGTTTTATTATATCCAACAATTTCTGCTCATAAATCTAAAGATAGAAATAGATAGAAATAAAAATTGTGTACTAAAATATCAGAAAAGTCATATTTAAGTGAGTTCTCTGAAGAGGATGTATTAACTTATTTTCACATCAACACGTAATTTGACCAGGAGTGCCCAAAACGTTTGCCGGGAAACTGTACCCAGGACAATCAGGACATTCTGTTCGTTCTTTCTGGTCCTATATGGTCACTTCTTCCCCACCTTTGCTTTGTACTGTCTATTGTTGACAACTGTCCAAAATGCTATGTGTCTGAGCCTCTATAACCACGACCAATGGATCATTGGGTTAATTTGTCTGTGAAAAGTTTGAACACCTCCGATCAAATTACACTGTTTTGTTGATTAAATATCAAGTCTGTGCTAAGTGGTCTGTTTTTCTGTGTGTTTTTATGTGAGCATATTGACTTTTTGAGACGATTTTTTTTTCCATTTTCTTTTTATGCACCTGTAATCCTGAAAAAAAAAAACATTGTTTTTAATTTGTTAACTTGAAAACAATTTAAATTTAAAGTCTTTTTTTTTTTAGTATTTTTGGAGTGTATCACATCACAGAATGGAATCAGATCACAAATTATGAATGGGTGTTTTCTCATATTGTTCTAAATGTTTCTCTTAGTCATGATGTACACATAATAACTGAACAATAAATGTAGAGTTTAAGGATTTATTAGGAAGCTTCATTACATACAAAGTCACGATTCAATTAAATTTCACGTGCTGTATTTGCATTAGCTACAGATATATTTTCTATAACAAATGTCTGCAGAAGAACGTCTGCTAAATGTTGTAAATGCAATTGTTGGAATAAATGTGATTTTACCAAAGATTTAACTTCAGCTCATTTCCAAACAAAGAAATCCCCATTGTGCTGCCGACTGTCACCCCACAGCCCAGAAACTTTACTTCTGCTTTTGTGGGGCTAATTTTGACACCTGTGTCAACCCCCAGCCCAACTTTCACTCCAACTGGTCCAGCAGATGCAGCTGCACTTCCAATCTCCGCTCGAGCCATGGCACCAGCTTCAAGCCCTTTAGCCTCAGCACCTGCAGAAGCATTTGGGCCTTTGGCTTCAGCCTGAAAGATTCTCCACTGTGCTCCAGCTCGTGCTACTCCAGCCTGAGCTACAGCTCCAGCTTTTGGGAGGCGTTTTCCAGGTTTGTTTGTGAAACCATCTGCATATGTGTCTGCATCGGCATACGGTCCGTCAGCATATGCTCCTCCTGGCCTGTCAAAGTTGTCTATCATATCAAGCAAGGACTGATCTGCAATGAATTCAGACCAGCAAGTAATTAGTCCAGGGAACTGCACCAGTCATTCATATTGCTGATTTGATTTCTTTACAGTGAACAAACAAAACTAGCGCCAAGACATTTCCAGTAATATCTATGCAATATAATGCAGTATAAATAACATTGCTTGATCTTTCAAAGAGCAAATTCTCAAAAAAAAATAAAAATCAGTTACCTATTTAGCAATAATTCAAATAAAGGGCTACTATGAAAAATAAGAGGCAACTGGTTGTTTATTAATGTCAGAAAATTGCAACATAGATCATCCAAAATTAGAATAATACATTGACTGATTGCTGATTGCTGAATATTGGGAACTGGTACAGTTAGTGTAAGGGGTCAGGTTACAATGTCAGCCACCACCAGGGGGCCTGGGCATCTTGCTAGGAGAAACTCAGAGATAATCAGAGCTGACTGGTTGCACCTGGGGAATGCTGCATAAAAATTGGCACAAATGGCAGCTCAGCATTACATTTTTGTAGAAGGGTAACTGGTACTGTACGTCAGCCCGAGTGGGTAGGAAGACAGAAAGACAGAAAGAAAGAAAGAGGTAAAAAAAAAGAGCACCAGAATGGGCAACAGAGAAGAAAAGAATGAGAGGAACCTTTGTAATGTTCACGGTGGACCGGGGGGGGAGATAAAAAGGAGGGGAGTTCAAGAGTGAAGCGCGTGTTGAGTCGTCTGTTGTGTCTCTAACTCAGTAAAGTGGTTTATTGTTGTACCAAACAATAGAACATAGTGTAAGAAGCGGGATTCGAATATGCACCTGATTTTTTTTGCATGGTCAAAAACAAGTTGGATGCTCACTTTATAACACAGAGAAACGTCATCTTTGAGAGGGCCAAGTTTAAATAGAGGCAGCAGGAGTTGGGTGAGTCCGTTGACTGTTTTATTACTGCACTTCACTGCCTGGCAGAGCACTGCATGATGAAATGGTGAGGGACAGACTGGTAGTAGGGTTAAGAGACTGTCCCTGAATCAACTCTAGAAAAGGCAGTCACCAGAGCACGACAGAGCGAGCAAGTAAAAAAGCAACAAGAAATGTTATTCAAAGCAGACACAACTAACACGCACCTCGACAGTGTGCATTCACAGCAGCGGCGGGATAGTAAATGCACATGGTCCAAGCCACAGCCACCCCAGTCAGCTAGCCGAATTGCATGAAAAAAGACAAAAAAAAGCTACACAATGCAAAAGGTGAGGAGACATGAAAGGTCATAGCCTGCAGCAGTGCCCAGATACCAGGAACAGCTCAGTAGACTGGAAAGGTCATCAAAGGTCCTAAAGGGCCCAAGAGGGAGAACATTGTCAGTAAAATGTAAATTCACAGCCACACTGAAGAAAGGACAAAAGTGGACACTACAGGAAGTTTATGTTGTGGAGAGACTGACCACAGTACTGCAGTCGAATTCAGAACTATCAGCCAACTGTGTTTGCACACTGTGGAATTAGACCTCCGCATTTAACCCATCTGTGCAGTGAAACACCCACATACATGTACACTAGTGAACACACACACCAGGGGGCAGTGAGAGTTGGAAGCCAGACTGGATGTTGTCAATCTAGACTCAGAAGAAGCAGTAAAAGCAGAATTCCCAAAGTTATTCAGTGGCCTAGGGAAGATGCAGGGCGAGTACCCCATCGTTCTGAAGCCAGATGCTAAACCCTTCTCTCTCTTTACCCCAGACGCATTTCCCTTCCCTCTTCTTCCAAAGGTTAAAGAAGAATTGAACCACATGGAGCAACAAGGAGTCATCTCAAAAGTGGAACAGCCAACCGAATGGTGTGCTCCTATGGTGGTGGTGCCCAAGCGAACAGGATGACACAAATCCTTGAGGGTCTGGAGGGGGTTTTGTGTCAGATGGATGATGTGCTCTTCTGGGGAGCCACCCAACAGCAGCAAGATGAGAGGCTATGTGTGGCTCTGTCACGACTCCAGAAGGCTGGGGTCACACTCAATGAAAAATATGAGTTTTCTAAGAACAAAATTAAGTTCCTGGGGCAGGTCATCGAGGCATCAGGGGTGAGCGCAGACCCCGAAAAAGTGAAAGCAGTTAAGGACATGAGAGAACCCACTAACGTCAGTGAAGTGAGAGGACTGCTGGGAATGATAAATCACTTGAGTAAATTAGATCTACTTTAGAGTAAAGTAGATCCCTATCTCGACCCTCATGGTGCTGCTCCACTGGCTAACGGATATAGTCCCACTGAGCCTCTCATGGGAAGAAAGATTAGAACACCTGTTTCCGTCGTCCCGTCCCAACTCAAGCCAAAATGTGTGGACTAGAGGAAGCTAAAAGAGAAAGAGAACACATACAGACAAAAACAAAAACACAATTAGAACCGCAGACACAGAGTACGTCCCATGATAAACCTTCACCCGGGAAAACGTGTGGATAAAAGACACAATGGAACATGGCACAGTTGTGCCGACACACCCAGATCTTACATTGTGGAGACACCTGGGGGTACCCTATGGAGAAACATGTTCCATCTCTCTCCAGCACCAGTGGCTCCTGAAATTGCAACCAACTTACCTGACATGTCTACTGAACCAAACACTATGTTAGACACAACAAGAACACCTGTTTCAGCAAAGCCTCAAGGTCAGCAGTAGCAGCCGCAGTACCAAATAGCTGAACACCGATACCCTGTCAGGGAGAGAATGGTCCCAAGTCGCCTAAAGGACCCATGTAAAGATGAGATACAAAAAAAAATGAGTGGTTAATGGGGCAGAATAATCCCCACACTCAGCAGAAGCGATGGTCAGTCTACCCTACCCTTCTTAAAAAAAATAAATAAATAAAAAAATAATAAAAAAAAAAAACCTTTTGATGTTGTTTTGTTTGAAATAGCGACAAGAAGGACACTTTATCTCAGAAAGGGGGATGTAGTATCAGGTCATTTGCATAGGTAGGAACCTTTGTAATGTTCACCGTATGCCAGGAGGGAAAGATAAAAAAGGAGGGGAGTCCGAGAGTGAAGCGCGTGTGTTGAGTCGTCTGTTGTGTCTCTAACTCAGCAAAGTGGTTTATTATTGTACCAAACAATAGAACAAAGACAATCTCAAAATCTCAGAAGAGGTTGGTGAGCTGGACTTATGCTCTCTCAAGCCTGAGGGTGGTTTTGTGCTCTTTTTAGGTTCCCTTTTCAAAGGAGTTCCTTTGTTTGAGCACGCCGGTCTTGGGCGTCTCCTTTGTTTGCCATTTCCGCCATTTCTTTTCCCACTGCCTAGCATATCTGGTTCGAACCTGCCGTCCGTTCTCACCACACAGTGACAGATAAAACACCTATTTTGCTTTAGTACCTCATACATCTAAGAATTCTACACACTACAATAACAAATAAATTACTGAATAAACACCCAACGGCTCTGCACTTGGCCCCACCACCCTGTCCTGCCACTGTCCTGTGAAAGTTAGATTTAAAGATATCTTTTCTGAGATCAAGTAGAAGCAGATAAACCTTTTTTTCATTCTACTAGATGGCCCTTTTGACTAATTCTTGATTTTCAAATGAAATATTAGCTAGTACTTTAGTAGTACTAGTATTTTACTAAAATTTTAGTTTAAACTGATTGAATGAGAAAATGTTCAGTTAACACTTGAATTAGAATTGAAAATTGAGAAATGCTTTAATAATAACTATAAGTTGTATTCAAGCAATATAGTGCTGGTTGCATGAAGGTACAGAGGAGGTTTCACTGTTGTGGGCTTACCTGTGATGCATGGCTTGGACATGGTTCAAAATAAGTAATAGATAAGGAGATAAGGAGAGAGCGAGCCTGCAGAACAGAAGAGAGCAAGTGTTACTCTTTCATTCAGTGAATGAATTGAGTGAATTGTTTCCCCCAGTGATTCCCACTCAGTGCATCATTGTGACTGGTTGGCTTTTGGTTGTTAAACTAAATCAGAAATACAAATAATGACATAGTCAGTACAGTCAGTGACATCGTTCATGTTCCTCTACTGTATCACACTGATCAAGGATCGTTAAATGGTAATGAAGAAAAAGAAGCTCATATAAAACATTTTTTAGCATAAAAGTCTAAGTATGACTGTACAAAAGTGAAAAGATTCCACTGCTGGTAAACCATTTTATATAAAAGCTGAAGTTAATAAAGATGTCAGTTACAACATTATTATGATGCTGCTTTAAAACTGTGAATCATTTTTGTGACAGGGAGATTGGTAGTGCAGCATATTTGTTTAAAATACATTACAGTAAATCAAAAGAATTTGAGCTTATAATGTTTTCTGTATAATCACATTTTGAATTTATTGGGAGCTTATCATAAAAAAAAAAATGTGTGATGGGTCGGGTGGGTAAGAGCAGTGTGTCCAACCCAAAGTTGAAATAATACCACTATACCATTGGTTTATAATATGATAGGCATACTGTATTTACCATGCATGGTAAAGCTGCAGTCCCTTCACTCATTTATTACAATGCAGATTATGACATGTGAGATTAGAAACTTTACAGCACAAATTTCCTGTGTATATGTTGTAAATTATGTGCATAAAATACTGGAATTAATTGTGCTATGAGTGTGTATAGGAGACAGAGACAACAGTTTTAAATGACAGACTTAAGCATAAAGCACAATATGCATGGGTTCTTACCTGTATCGTCAGCTTGCTGCGGATGCAGGTTTGAAAGGCTGTCCACGAAGTGATCTGTATTTAAAGAAAACATTTTCACTTTCAGTTTTCTTGCTATAAGCAGGGGTGGAGGAGGACTTTCAGACTGCGAGACATGATGCAGACCAGCCCACTCTAATGTGCACACACCAACACACACACACACACACACACACACACACACACACACACACAAACGTAAAGTAGGTAGGCCACCTATGCAGATACCGTTTCCAAATACGATAATGTCCCACAGTGTTATTATATCAGGTGATACGCTGTTCCTAACAGCAGTGCAGTCATCACCCTACATATTCCAGCACTTCTGCCCTGATACAAAACAACAGCAATCAACCAGAAAGCTGCATTCACATAAACACAACAAACACTACAGCAGCCCTCCGCTCACCACACAATGTGCCCAGAAAAGATGCCAAACTCTCAGCTGAGATGTACAAAGATGAGGAAAACTTAAACCTAAACCCAGGGCCGGATCTAGGATCAACATTTTAGTGAGGTCCACTTTTTACTTTGAAATGTGACATACATTTCATAGTGAATAAAATAACTGCCGAATATGAGTTTCACACCAACCTTGAGCTTCTCATGTATTAAACATGCGTTATAATACCAAACTTCAGCTAATGGGAAAGGCAGCTACTCATAGTAAGTAAGTAAGTAAAGTTTATTTATATAGCGCTTTTTACAACAGGTGTTGTCACAAAGCAGCTTTACAAAGAAATCAGCATTACAGAAAGAAATCCGGGTCCGAGCCCCCATGAGCGTTGCCAGAGGTGACAGTGGCAAGGAAAAACTCCCTAGGAACAGGAAGAAACCTTGAGAGGAACCAAGACTCTCTGGTCGACACCGGATAGTAAAACATTGTTAGTACAAAAACAGGGAAAACAGGTGGAGCAATGATTAATTTGATTAGTTTAGTTCATGCAGCAGCAGCGGCAGCAGCAGCATCAGTGGGGTTAGGTTGTGAGGGTGAGGTTTGCACGGCGTAGTACAGCATACAGTTAATGAGACAAAATACAGCCGAATGTAGCTGCTGATTCCTTAATAATGTTGGCTACATGATGCTATTCTATCAATCTGCTGGTTAACAGTGAAATTTCTCATGCCAGTTGTAGTTTGTTATGTGTAGGTAACAAAATACAGCTTTAATTTCTCATCTAATCACTAATATGGTGAACTACAGAGCCTGTAGCCTAAACTGAGCAGCTACTTGAGCCAGACTAAGGCATGCTGATTTAGCTAGCAACATTGTGAGTGCTCCAAATATGAGTAATGGAGTTTGCATTGTACAAGCATAATGTGTAAATTATTAACTCTTACATTTGTGTGCTGCATAGTTGAACATCTCAAGAAGTCAAAGTTACTCTGGTACTCAGGGCAGCATAGCATCTAGTACAGAGATACACAGAGCGGGCAGTTAAGTCTGTGGCCGAACCACAGCTCTTCTGAGGTCAGCTGAGATCCAGTCACTGCACTTTTTCTATACTGAATCTCATGAAACCCTTTCAAAGCTTTTGCAGACCTCAGTGTCCCAACACAGTCAAATGATTGCACATAACAAAGGTTGCTAAGCAGTGACTGGGCGGTGGAGAGAAAAAGGCGGAGCTTGGCAGATTTTGATTGGCCATAATACAGTGACAGTGCTCACAGAAGCAAACAACGACTGAAATATGATTTGATAACAAATCAAATTTCATCATCCCAGTAATGCATCCTCATTTGATTAGGTGGGCATGTGATGCTGTGGCTGCATCCCTGAGCAGACTGTGTTACCACAATGGTGCTGTTTCTTCATTTAATGTCATAAATGGAGGAAAGTGAAAAGACTCTTCTGAAACTACCAAGGTCTGGACCTCAGTGTCCTCATTGCTAGTTACACCCATGCCTAAACCTAAAGTTAATCATCTAAGACTAAAGCACACTGGAACAGCAGACACACCCAAAAAAGACATAACAGTTAAATCAAACAACTGAGATGCGCAAAGATGAGGGAAAACAACCCAGCAAACTAAAAACCTAAACCTAATCATCGTAGGTACAAAGCATGTTGCCACAGGGGGCGTGAAACATGTTTATGCTATATTTTGTTGTACCTGTAATGACTCATCTGTTGTTCCTTTTGTCTTATGTGTGTATAAAAACGTAATGTCAAAACGAAAGAAGTGTGAAGCAAGAACACCAATCAGGGCACAGAGTGCACTTTGTTTTGAGCTTGTTTTGACCTGTTGGTCATACCGACCCAGCGCAGCACACGGTTCAACATCAGTGCAGCAGCGTAAGATTTTGGGAGTGTCTATTTAACATAAATGATGGAACTAACTTAACTTTGTGTAAATAGACCACAATATAGAAATATGTACACACATGCAGTTGTGACTGGCATGTGTCATAGTAAATTTGTTTTTGCTAGTTTATGTTTATGAACAGAGACCTACAGATGCAGTTTAATAAAGGAAAACTCATTTGTGAATTTTTTGAGTTTAAAGCAAGTTTTTATTAAACTTAAACTTGTAACTAAGTTGCAGATAAATCTTAAACTGAAACTTTGCTTGTTTGCAAAAAGTGATTTCAGAGCCACTCAGTTCTACCTGATGGAAACTGTTTGCCTTCAGTGTTTTGTGCTTATGATAATTTTAATAGACATCAGTGTTACTAATTAATGGCATTCTATTAAAAGACTGGTTTACCAAGAGAGACTCTGGAGTATTTTCACCTAAAATGAGTTAATGAAGGAAAAGTCATGTTATAAAAATGATAATAGGACATTAGAGTCACAATTAATCTTTTAGTACTTTTACTTTTGATACTTAAGTACAAAGCCTCTGATGAACAGATCCAATCCACCTGAGAGTCGTCTGAACACGAGTTTCAGTGGAAGAAATGAGACTAAAAACAAATCCTGAGGTTTTAGTACAAAGACCTTAAGTGTGTTACAGCTGAAGAATGTTCTACTCTACTGTGTTATATGCTATTATATTATGTATTGTGTGTACCATGCGTGTGTTTGCCCAGGACCTTTAGGACATTCTGTTCATTCCATTTCTTTCTGGTCCTATATGGTCACTTCTGTCCCACCTTTGCTTTGTACTGTCTATTGTTGACAACTGTCCAAACTGCTATGTGTCTGAGCCTCTATAACCATGACCAATGGATCATTGGGTTAATTTGTCTGTGAAAAGTTTGAACACCTCCGATCAAATTACACTGTTTTGTTGATTAAATAACATAGGTGGTCTGTTTTTATTAGTGCTTTTGTGTGAACATGTTGACTTTCTGAGATTATTTTTTTTTTCCATTTCCTTTTTATGCACCTGTAATCCTGAAAAAAAAAAACTTATACAGTTTTTTATTTGTTTACCTGAAAACAATTTCAATTTAAAGTTTTTTTTTTTAGTATTTTTGGAGTGTATCACATCACAGAATGGAATCAGATCACAGAAATCATGCAGTTCTAAATATTTATCTTAGTCATGATGTACACATAACAACTGAACAATAAATGTAAAGTTTAAGGATTTATTAGGAAGCTTCATTACATACAAAGTCATGATTCAATTAAATTTCACTTGCTGTATTTGCATTAGCTATGGATATTTTTTTTTAGTAGATAACAGATCACTTTTCTGTCACTCTGGACAACAACGTCTGCTACATGTTGTAAATGCAATTCTTAGTATGAATGTGATTTTACAAAAAAATGATCTTCAGCTCATTTCCAAACAAAGAAATCCCCATTGTGCTGCCGACTGTCACCCCACAGTTCCCAGAAACTTTGCTTCTATCTTAGTCGGGCCAACTTTGACACCTGTATCAACTGCCAACCCAACTTTCACTACAACTGGTCCAGCGGACGCAGATGCACTTCCAATCTCCGCTCGAGCCATGGCACCAGCTTCAAGCCCTTTAGCCTCAGCACTTGCAGAAGCATTTGGGCCTTTGGCTTCAGCCTGAAAGATTCTCCACTGTGCTCCAGCTCGTGCTACTCCAGCCTGAGCTACAGCTCCAGCTTTTGGGAGGCGTTTTCCAGGTTTGTTTGTGAAACCATCTGCATGTGTGTCTGCATCGGCATACGGTCCGTCAGCATATGCTCCTCCTGGCCTGTCAAAGTTGTCTATCATATCAAAAATGGACTGATGTGCAAAGAACTCAGAACTGTTAGTAATTAGTCCAGGGAGTTGGAGGTGCACCAGTCATTCATATGGCTGATTCTGATTTACTAAGATTTACCAAAATTTACTGTCATTTAGTAGGGCAATGCCCCACCAACAAAGCATCATTGTTTTATAGCAGAGGTGTGGACTCGAGTCATATGACTTGGACTTGAGTCCGACTTGAGTCACAAATTTGATGGCTTGAGACTCGACTTGACAAAATCAAAAAAGACTTTTGAGTCGGCTTTGACTCGAACACCAATGACTCAGACTATGACTTCGACTTGAGCATCATGACTCAGAAAGACTCAAAACCCAAAGTGGAAGAAATGTGGTTCCCACCTTGTTCCCACCTCTGTTATATAGTGCCAGGCAGCAAAAATCAACCAAAATGAAAAGTCTGACATAAAAGTCTGCATCGATTAACGCAGAAGAGTTTACATGCATATCATTATATATATATTTATATATCATTAATAACCTTAAGTGGAGCAGTCTGAGGACTGTGACTAGGCTGAAAACCTGACTGAAGTTTCTCTAGACAGCCGTTTAAAGATGATTTTCTCAATTATTTTTTTTTCCAATGAAAGGTAGACTTGAAATGGGTTTGTAATCACTCAATAAAGTTGCTTCTATGTTTTTCTTTTTTTTAAGAGATGCTTCGCAACTGCAGTTTCACAATTTGTTAGGAAAAACGCCCGACAGGAGTGAACGTTTACTATCTGAAGTACATCTGCTGCTATTGAGAGAAACACGTTCTTCAAAAAGCTGGTTGGTAATGTGTCAAGACTACAAATGGAGGATTTCAGATGATTCACTGTATCGATTAAAATTTCATTATTAACAGCACAAAACTGGGACTTTTTAACCACAATATCTTTATGTGGTGATGGAG